TTTTTTTAATTGTGGTTCTCACGGTGTAATTTTTAGGATGCACCCAATGAAAGTGTTTTAACTAGACGGCTGACGTAGTTTTTGAAATCTGACCTGCATGAAGACTTTGCATAGAAGGGAAATATTTACCAATATTTAACCTTAAAGCATAAAATTCACATCTGAAAAGCTACTGCGGGCCGGATTTGGCCCACGAGCCTCGAGTTTGACATATTTGATCTAGAACGAGAGCTTCTGTCTTGTAAGTTTAGTGAACATTTCAGAAGAATTGTTATAGAAACACAGATGTGACAAATTGCATTCCAAATATTTTTTAAAGATATTTGTACTTTGTTGGAAGTACAGCAGATTGAGCACCAAAGAACCAGAAAAAACAAAAATATGCATTTGTTCTGTTGTTTCCATAACAGCAAGTAAGAAATCTGAGTTAATCGTTCAGATATTTTTGAATTCAATATTTTTGTTTTGTATGATGTTGGCGCCATCTAAAATAATCCATATTGTACTTAATATGTACAATTACTGAATTAACTTTAACTTGTAATGTAAAATGTTGCGAAGCTTAGGGAGAATAATGCATTGTTTTCCAACCGTATTACATGAAGTTCTGAAAAGTGTGGCATGCACATTTTTAGCCAAATTTACCCTAACACAGCACTGCAAATTTTCTAATTATAGAGAGTAAGGAAATGTGGTTTCATTGCTTATTTTAAATCTTTTTAAATTAATCCTGTTTACAGAATAAATAATTTATACTGTGGCAAACTGTTGTTGCATTTGACCGGTATAATCTATTATTATTTTATATATGTATAATTATGCTTAATAAATAACCAAACCCTGTTTGTTGATCATAAGTTTAGTAGCTTTTAACCAGTTTTTAGTTTTTGTTATTCACAGACAATGTTTTCTATCTAGGTCACTCTGTGCATATCAGACACCACCCACATAAATTTTGAATTTTAAATCATAAACGTGTTTCTAAAATAGATCTACTCTAAAGTATTGGGTCTCAGGTTTAACCAGGCATTTTTATATCAGATAGAGGAAAAAGGCAAGAAGCTGCTGTTTTCCTTCTGCGGCCCCAAACGGAAACATAAAACTTTTCTACTTAACCGTGGAGCCATGATGCGTTTTTCGTTGCTCATATAATGAATGTGTGATTTGATTTGCCCTCCGTTTGCC